GCACAGGGTCAAAATCAAATACTTTTTTTTGCAATTAGTTATAATATGTTTCTGCAATATTTTGTTCTAGGAAAGCTTAATATTTAGTTTTCATACATAACAAGGAGGAACAGGTGATGAGCTGCTGTTGATGTTTAGGGTAGGAGCACTTTCAGTGTCCTCTGCACACTTTCCTCCACTACTCATTTTAGCGTCATCTGCGAACTTTGACACACTACACTTGGTCCCCAACTTTAAATCATCTGTGTAAATTGTTAACAATTGTAGTCCCAACACTGATCCCTGAGGCAAACTGTGAGCCATTGATCGTCAACCAGAAATAGTCCCAAGTGTCCCCACTCTTTGCTTTCTGTTAGTTAACCAATCTTAATCCATGCTAATACATTACCCGTAATGTCGTGCATGTTTATCTTATGCAGCAGCCTTTTGTGTGGCACGTCGTCAAATGTATTCTGGAAATCCAGATACACCACATCCACCTGTTCCCCGTTGTCCACCACACTCAGAATATCCCCAAAGAATTCCCGTAAATTAGTTAAACATGACCTGCCTTTCATGAACCCATGCTTCATCTGCCCAATGGGACAATTTCTATCCAGATGTCATGCTATTTTTTTCCTTGATGATAAAGCATTTCCCCACTCCAGGAAGTTAAGCTAATGGGCCTACAGTTATCTACCTTTTGTCTACCTTTTTTTAAACAGTGGCATCACATTTACTGTCTTCCAATCTGCCGGAACCGTCCAGAGTGCAGCAAATTTTGGTAAATTACCATCAGCGCATTTGCTATTTCCCCCTGCTATCTCTTTTAGTACCCTGGGATGAATTTCATCAGTGCTTGAAGCAGTATACTGTGAAAGGCATGAATATCTGGTCACAAAAGGACTACACATAAGGTTTAGGATTATGTTATCATACACAAAACAGCATGAGACTGCTTCCTTAAAAAAATAAACATTTAACTATGAGGTTGTCGACTTGCTTGACATGCTGGTTTGTTTTTGTTGAGACATTTCATCACCATGCTGGGTAACATCATCAGTGAGACCTCCGATGAAGTGATGTTGCTCTACTCCGCTTAGAATTTATACTATCCGGTCTGTTATGGTGAGTACTGTCATCTCCGGTGTTGTTCTATATAGGTTAATATATGGGCTCCAATCCCTTATGTTTGTTGATTACATTATGGGTTGAGAACCATGCCTGTAGGAACTCCTGTGAGTGTCTATGTTTGGCTGGGCTACTATGGTTACATTGTCCCAGTTAAACTGATGGCCTTCATTGTCCAAGTATACTGATATTAGGGAAAGTTTGTTGTCATTTTGCTGCTAGCCAATGTTCGCGTATTCTGATGGCTGGTTTCCTTCCTGTCTGTCCGATGTAATGTTTGTGGCAGTTCTTACATGGTATTTTATAAACTACGTTGGTTCTGCATATCATAGGTTTGAGATCTTTAATCCTTGTGAGTGTTTGTCGTAGCGTGGCTGTGGGCTTGTGTGCTGCCATGATTCCTAGTGGTTGTAGGAGCCTCGTTGTCAATTCTGATATGTTCTTGATGTAGCACAGTGTGGCCAATGTACTAGGTCGTACTGTGTCCTCTTGGTGTTGTCTATTTAGTAGGCACCTGCTGATGAAGTTGAGGGGATATCCATTCGTAGCGAAGATTATGTATAAGTGTTCTTCCTCTTTCCTGCATAGTTCTAGCGTGTTGCAGTGAGTGGTGGCCCATTTAAATAGTGTCCTAACACAGCTTTGTTTGTGGACGTTGGAGTGGTTGCTGTGGAAGTTGAGGATTTAGTTAGTGTGGGTTGCATTCCTGTATATACCGAGGTTTGGAACTCCCCATTGGTCATACTTTCAACCCTGACGTCCAGAAACAGAAGCTGATTGTTGTTTTCTTCTTCCCTTGTGAATTTGATCCCAGTGAATACGTTGTTGATGAGGTGGTGGGTCTCTTCTAGTTTGGTGCATTTAATGATTATAAATGTGTCGTCCACATACCGGATCCACAGTTTAGGTTGAATGAGGGGGAGGATAGTGTATTCTAGTCTTTGCATGACTGCTTCTGTGATGAGCCCTGAATGGGTGACCCAATGGGTGTGCCATTGATCTGTTTGTGTACTAGACCATTAAAGACGAAGTGTGTCGTGAGGCACAGGTCTAGTAGTTTGAGTATCTTGTCATTGCTGATGGAGCTGCTGGTTGCGTTCCTGCTTCCTCTAGTAATGTGGCCACTGTTTCTTTGACTTGTGGGATGTCAATTGACATGAATAATGCTGTGATGTCAAAGAATACCATAATCTTGTCGTCGCTGATTTTTATGTTCTTGAGGGTATTGAGGAATTCTTGGGTTGACTGGATGGAATGGAGTGATCCATCAACTAGGTGTTTCAGTGTCTATTGTAGGTCGTTGGCCAGTTTGTGTGAAGGTTTGCCTGGTAGGGAGACAATGTCATCATTAAATGCACCAAACTAGAAGAAACCCACCACCCACAATAACGTATTCACCGGGATCAAATTCATGAGAGAAGAAGAAAATAACAATCAACTTCCCTTTCTGGACGTTAGGATTGAACATATGACCAACGGGGAGTCTAAACCTCAGTATGCAGGAAAGCAACCCACACTGACCAAATCATCCATTTCCACAGCAACCGTCCCAATGTCTACAAACAAAGCTATGTTAGGACACTATTTAAACTGGCCACCACTCATTGCCACGCACCAGAGCTACACAGGAAAGAGGAAGAGCACCAGTACAAAATCTTCACTATGAATGGATACCTCCTCAACTTCATCCACCAGGGCCTACTAAATAGACAACACCAAGAGGACACAGTATGCCCTAACACACTGGCCACACTGTCCTATATCAAGAACATATCAGAACTGACAACGAGACTCTAACACCCACTAGGAATCATGGTAGCACATTAGCCCACAGCCACGCTACGATAAACAGTCACGAAGTTTAAAGATCCCATACCCACGGCATGCAGAACAAACGTAATTTACAAAATACCATGCAAGGACTGCCACAAACATTACATTGGACAGACAGGAAGGAAACTAGCCATCAGGATACACGAACATCAGCTGGCAGCAAAACGACATGATGAACTTGCCCTAATATCAGTACACTTGGACAATGAAGGCCATCAGTTTAACTGGGACAACATAACCATAGTAGCCCAAGTCAAACATAGACATGCACGGGAATTCCTCCAGGCATAGTTCTCAACCCATAAAGCAATCAATAAACATATAGAATTGGACCCCATATACAAACTCATACAGAACTGAACTGGAAATGACACAACTCACCATAACAGACCAGACAGTATAAGCTCCAAGCAGAGTGTAACAACATCGTGTCATTGGAGGCCTCACTGATGATGTTACATAGCATGGTGACGAAACGTCTGAACGAACACAAGCCAGCTCGGCGGGCAAGTCAACAACCTCACCCATAAACCCAAGCTACAAATCTTTGCAAAAACCTTAAGCATTTAACTGTTTGCAGAACAAATTGACACCACAAAGATATCAATAAAAGATCTGAATGCACAACGGACAGTTTTGGAGGGGGGAAAATAGTCTTCTATTTTACAACAATAAAACACATAAGAAACATTGAGATGTATTGTTGCAATTAAAACTTCAATATAATATTCTGTGAAAGATGAGATACACCAGTGAATTTCTAATTTCAACTATATCTTTAGTGCAGGAATTTGAACCAAAGTGAGTTTGAACCAAATCATACAATAAAGAATGAGAAAGAGGGAAAGGCTCAGTACATACCACTAGTCACTAAACAGCATTGTCAAGATATACAAATCTAAGGCATGGTTTTCAAAAGTCATCAAATGTCAGGGTAGTATCCATAGCATGCCTTCATCTTTGCTCACTCAAGTTCAGTATAACTGGTTTAACCATCCACCACTAGATCTAGTCAGACCATAAGAAGCATTTCAAGTCTTATTCTCATCTGTCAAAGTTGCCCAATAGTCCAAAGTAAACCAGATGTGCAGGCTTAGATGAGCTTCAATTTCTTACAATCAAACATTAGTAAGTCTGAAATCAATGTCACTATAAACTCAAAACTCTTGCCACTAATGTCAACCTTCTCCATGGCAATTATTTTCGACTGAACCAGACCTTTTATTGACCCTGAAGTAAGTTTCCAATTACACTTTGTTTCCAGCACAAAATCACTCTCGCTTTACACAAAATAGTCCACCTCTGCTTCAAATTGCTACTGAAATCCATATCCATGTCATTGTTACCTCCAGGCTCAATTGTTCCAGTGCTCTCATGGCTGGCTTCTATTTTTCATCCTCTGTAAATTTCAGCTTTTCCAGAACTCTTGGCCTTCATATTTCATACCAGGCCCTGCTCAACCATCTCTGCACTGCTCCCTGATCTACATTGGCTCCCATTCGTCCAATGCTTCAAAACTAAAATCCTCATCATTATGTTTACATCACCATTGACTCACCTTTACTAACCTCTAATTTCTTCTCCATGAAAGTTCCAATCCAATTCCAATTGGTTCTCATAGTTTCTCCTTTTATGACTTATCCATTTTTATGACTCATCCAAAGCAATATAGAATGATTTTTTGTGGTAAAGGTGCTAAATAAATGGAGGATGAAATTTTCCTTGTTATGATAGAATGTGTTGGAACATGTGTAAGTTGTTTCAAAACTGTATGATTTGCCAATCTGGGCTGTCTCGCCACTAGGTTTCCAATTGTAATCGGTGGAGGTAAGTAAGATTAGCAAACCAGAAATGATTTGTCTTCTGTTACTCATCACTGAGTTGTGAAACTTGTTTTTCTTCTTAATAAAAGTTATTGTAGAGGTCAATGAGACAAAGAACTTGGGAGAGTATGCACAAATTTGAACCTGTTACAATAAAAGGCACAGAATGGAAATGATTTCCTTGTTATTTTATTACAATGTTATCTAATTTACAATATCTATATTTTTATGTAGGTCAGCGATTCTGTTGGGATTGATTTTAAAGAAAGAAATAATTTGTCTCCATATTTCACGCTGGTAGGTAAAAGTTTCCCCAGGAATGTCTAAGTTAATGTATTCATTGGCTGAAAGGAATTTGACTTCATTTTTACTGTTATCAGCCCCAAATAGGGTCCTACTCAGCACCAAGTACAGCACAAACAGAGCCTAACATGAACAGAACTCCAAGTGCCCCAGGTGCTGTTAATTTGAGGTGAGATTTTAATAATCATTGCAAAATAATCTTGATCTTAGAAAATACTTCTGCTTTTCTCTTTCTATTCTATAATTCTTAAGGAGCCTCAATGAATATATATGCTGACATATTGCCTTCATTGCTCAGACTATTGAGTATAGGAGATGTGATGCCATAAAACCAAAAGAACTGCGAATGCTGTGAATCAGAAACAAAAACAGAAGTTGCTGGAAAAACTCAGCAAGTCTGGCAGCACCTGTGAAGAGAAATCAGAGTTTGCATTTCGGGATCAGTGACCCTTCCTCAGAACTGATGGTATCTAGGAAAATGTTAGTTTATATGCAGAAGATAGGGTAGGGGGAGGGGCAGGAGTAAATAATAGGTGGAGGTAGAGCCCAAAGAGAGAGAAGAACAGTTGGACAGACAAAGGAGCAGATCAGATCTGGCTAGGAAGGTGAGTAGCTGTTAATGGATACAGTTAGTGGCTAACGATAGGCAGTATGTAATGGCAAACTGTATGATAATAAGGCCTGGAGTGTGGGGTAGGGGCTAGGACATGGGAGAGTTCAGGCCCTAAAATTATTGAACTTGATATTGAGACCGGAGGGCTGCAGGGTCCACAAGCGGAAAATGGGGTGTTGTTCTTCCAGCTTGCACTGAACTTCACTTGAACACTGCAGCAAGCCAGAGACAGAGATGTTGGCCAGGGAACAGGGTGGTGTTAAAGTGGCAGGCAACTGGAAGCTCAGGGTCTTTTTTTGCAGGCAGACCATGATGTTCTGAGACGTGATAACCCAGTCTATGCTTCGTTTTCCCAATGTAGAGGAGACTACGTTGTGAGAAGTGCAGGTAAAGTGCTGCTTCACCTGGAAGGTATGTTTGTGCCCTTGGATACTGAGGAAGGAGGAGGTAAATGAGCAGGTTTTACACCTTCGGCGGTTGCAGGCAAAGGTGCTGTGGGGCTGTGGGGGTGGGTGTTGGGGGTGAAGGAAGAGTGGACCAGCGTGTCCCAGAGGGAACAGTTCCTGTGCAAAGTGGACAAGGGAGGGGAGGGGAATATGTGCGAGGTGGTGGCATCTCACTGGAGGTGGCAGGAATGGTGGCTGATGATCTTCTGGATGTCGATGCTGGTGGATGGTAGGTAGGGACAAGAGGAATCCTATCGCTGTTGCAGGAGGGAAAAAAGGGAGTGTGGGCAGAATTTTGGGAGATGGGTTGGACCCAGTTGAGAGCCCTGTAGACATCAGTGCTGGGGAATCCTTGGTTGAGGAAGAAGGTGGACATTTTGGAGGCTCCCTTACCGAAGTTGGCCTCATCGAAACATATCTGACAGAGATGGAGGAACTGGGAGAATGGAATGGAGTCTTTACAGGAAGCAGGTGCAAGGTATATAGTCCAGGTAACTGTGGGAGCCAGTGGGCTTGTAGTGGATATTAGTGGCCAATCTATCCCCAGAAATGGAAACAGGGATTTCAAGGAACGGAAGGAAGGAGTAAGAAATAGTCAAGATGAAAGTGAGGGTTGGGCGGGAGTTGGAAGCAAAATTGATGAATTTTTCAATTCTGAATGAGAGAGGGAAGCAGTACTGATGATATCATTGACATATTGAAGAAAGAGCGAGGGTGGGACCTGAATAGGACGGGAACAAGGAATGTTCCATGTACCCAATGAAGAGACAGGCATAACTGGGGCCCATGCGGGTTCCCATGGCCACTCCACTGACCTGAAGAAAATGAGAGGAATTAAAAGAGAAGTTGTTGAGGGTGAGGACGAGCTCAGCCAAGTGGTGGAGGGTGGTTGTGGGTGGGGACAGCTCAGGCCTTTGCTCCAGGAAGAAGCGGAGAGCCCTGAGACCATCCTAGTGGGGGATGGACGTGTAAAGGGATTGCATGTCTATGGTAAAGGGGAGGCAGCTGGAGCCTGCAAACTGGAAATTCTGAAACTGGCGTAAAGCATCAGAGGAATTATGAATGTATGTGGGCAGGAACTGGATCAGGGGAAAAAAGACTGAGTCAGAGTAGGAGGAGATGAGTTCTGTGGGGCAGGAGCAGGATGAAACAATGGGTCTACCCAGGCAGTCCTGATTGTGGATTTTCGGAAGGAGGTAGAAGCAAACTGTGTGGGGCTGGGGGACTATCAGCTTGGAGGCAGTAGGGGTGGGGGGTGTGGGCGGGTGAGGAGGGTGGTGGGGAGAGATCACTCGATGAAATGAGGTCAGTTGTGGTTGATACAATGGCCTGATGTGCCATGGTGGGATCATGGTCCAGGGAAAGGTAGGAGGAGGTATCTGAGAGCTGGCGCTCAGCTTCTGCAATGTAGAGGTCAGTACACCAGACTACAACAGCACAACCCAGGATGCCATGTTGTGGTTGCACACGACATTGGTAAGGCCACTTTTGGAGTACTGTGTATAGTTCTGGTCACCCTGCTATAGAAAAGATATTATTAAATTGGAGATTGTGCAAAAAAGATTTGCAAGGATGTTACCAGGACTAGAGGGTTTGAGTTCTAAGGAGAGGCTGGATAAGCGGAGACTTTTCTCACTGAAGCATAGGAGATTGAGGGATGACCTTATAGACCTTTATAAAATCATGAGGGGCATAGATATGGTGAATAGCAATGGTCTTTTCCCTTCGGTAGGGAAGTTCAAAACTAGAGGGCATAATTTTAAAGTGGGAGGACACAAATTTAAAAGGGACTTGAGGGACAACTTTTTCACACAGAGGGTGGTTCATATATGGAATGAACTGTCAAAGAAAGTGGTATATGCAGTGCAGTTACAACACTTAAAAGATATTCGGACAGGTACATGATTATGAAAGGTTTAGAGGATTGTGGGCCAAACGCAGGCAAATGGGACTAGTTTAGTTTAGGAAACCTGGTTGGCATGGACGAGTTGGACCAAAGGGTCTGTTTCCATGCTGTATGACTCTATGACAGAATTCCAATAACATTGTATTATTGGTTAATAAATTATCAATGATTTAAAAGTAGTTGGAGTTCATTATGGTATTGCCATGCAAGTAATTGGTATTGGCATGTATCCAGCATCAAATTCTTACTATAATAGGAACCTCTATGAGTGTCTGCAATGACAGTCTTCAGCAATACTTCTGTCCTTTAAAAAGTAAAGTATACTTTCGTATTAAGTCAGTTAGAGTCTATACAATGAGAACAGTGTCTCTTCAATATCCTCACTAATACCAGTTTTATCAATTCCTGCTACCCAGTGCTGGTAAGTATTTAGCAAGATTGGTATCTATTTTACTAATATGAGTAAACCACACAAACTTGTGTTCCACTTCCATGTGAACTCACAGAAACACTGCACAGGTACAGGCACTACCATCACAGTGATGCTCTGACTTTTATTTGAAGTTGTTAGTACAGAGGTATAACAAGAAAAGTGAAAATGAAACAGGACCGTTTAATTCTCATTCCATTGGCTCACTCAGTTGTAAACAGCACCATTAAGTGATTGTGTTTTTGTTTACAACACTTAACTATCAGATTCTGAAATGTATTTGAGTATGTTGAGATTCATATATATATCAGACTAAAATCTGAATAAGGAACTTTTTGGTAACATAGTTATGTTGATTTGATATTTTAATATTAATAACCAACTACATTGCCTGGTATGTCAGAAGACTGTGTTCAATAAATCTGATATGGGTGAGCTACAAAAAAAACTGAAGCATACTTTTTTTAAAATCATTAAACCTTCCTCAGAGAGCATCTACCAAAAAAACTAAATTAATTAACTTTGCTCTTTTTTTGGTATAAAGGAGGCCCAAGTGCTGAAATCTGCTTCTTTTCCAGCTTTAATTTAATGCAACCACTGAATTAGAATTTGTCCAGCTTTAGATTTAAAATCTGGTACCTTTTTTATAATAAAAGAACATCAGTAGGAGTGTTTTTAATACTTAGTGGTTTATTACAAGAATATTTGGACATTATCCCAAAATAGTCGTTCATTTGCATCACCTTTTTAAAAAAAATGTCAGTCATATGTGCCAAGATGTTTCGTACTAAGTCCTTTTTTTTGGAGGACTTGATTTGACTAAATCCTTACACAAATCACACTAGGGTACAAACTCCATCTCTTAATCTTTATGACTGCGTAATTTATGCACAATGTAACTTGGCGTGAAGCAGCAATCACCTGTTTTCAGATTAGTTATAGACTTCCTCACAAATTAGCAGCTTTTTGCCACTTAATTATTTACTTGGACAATGATGCGGCATTGAAAAATGGTAAAATCCTCCACCTCGTTTTTCTTCATAATGAAGAAATTGCTTCTCTCAACACATAAAATGGTAGAGATTTTGTCGTATATTCATTCAACAATGGTGGACAATAAATGCTTGACTTTCCTAAATCTGAATAACATTTTTAATGCAAGTCTTGTTTTTTTAATTTGGCAGGAATTATAGATAAATATGATTTCCACTGCATGGCTAAATGTAACAACATTGTCTAAAGGCATTTTACCATCAAAATAATTGCATTATTAGTATTAAATAAAGTGTGACCTTATGAAATTATAGCTAAGGTGCAGTTGAGCTCATTTGTTAAATATTCTTGAAACCTGATGGAAAAATAGGAATAGTCAAATAACTTGGTACTATGTAAATTTGTGAGGGTAACAATCAAGATATATTGCAATCATCATTGTGACTGGAATGATCTTTCCATGTAAGAGATATAGGGCTGTACTTTTAGGTCTAGATGACAGCGAGCTTGGAAATGAGTGAGCGAATTTTGGCTTCATCCCTTCCCCAGACCATCTTCCTCTTCCTGCTTGGTTGGCTTCAGTTGCAGCTACAGGTCACCCTCTGGAAGATGTTGGAGGCAAGAGGGGACCTTCATTTTTGGTGCCCCTCTCTGTCTTGCCTTGAATGACCAATTTCTGTTTCTTCAGTATTAGAGGATTGCTTTGTGGCTGTCCAGTTTTGAGAGTCTGCTCATGGTCCTTAATCGAACATTGCTCGCTAATTCACAGTTGAATAACTGT